AACACCCAGACTGAGTAACAAGAAATTTGGAGCTTAAGCACTTTTCTACTTAGACTTGCTTGGGAAAAACCTCTGTAATTCACTATGCCTCAACTTCTCCATACAGAAATTGGAGAAATATAAGACTTATAAAGTTCAAAAAAAAATATCTAAGAAGAACAAGGATTAAATGGTTGCTAGTAAACCTCCAGTAACTCTTCACTCGCCTCAGCAGCATCTGTCCACTTGCAACAGATATCCAACTAGCCCTCGTAAAAAGGCATCAATAAGCAGACAGAAAAACTTTTGACCAGCCATCATTCTGCCAGTGGAGGCTTGCAAACAGTTTCAACAAGAGTGCTTCAGCTCTGAGACTTGAAGAAGGGTAAGAGCATCTAAAGTGGGCTTGCTTGTAGTGGGATTCACAAAGGTCTCTCAGAAACACGACACCTAGATGGGCAAAGCATTAATGTCTGTGAAATGTTCTGTAGGGGCAGAAAATTGGCTGAAGCTGTGAAAGATCTAGCTCAGCAGCTCAGTCTATTGCCCAAAATAACAAGGTGGTGGCATCTGGGATCCTCCCCCACCAAGCCCACCAGCAAATGCCCCAGTGATCCCAGTGTGTGCTCACCCCTGTCATCACGCTTTGCTGGGCATTAGTGGTGGACAGCACCCCACCCTGAGAAAACATGGGGCATTCTTGGCACTTCTCCCTGAAGGCAAGGTCGTCAGACATGATGATGAATTCTTTGCCTGCCATATCCACAGTGGTATGCAGGGGAACACAATCCTGCCCCAAACAAGAGCCAAGTTTGATTAGGGCTGATCACTCCAAGATCCTTCCTACAAGAATCTTGCAAAGAGGGAGTTACTGGCCACCCACAATGAGCCCAGAGACCAGCACATGAAGTCTTGTGGGTAATTTGGCCAAGTCTCCCAAAGATACAAAGCAGAGTGGCACAACCCATGAGAACAGACACTATTTCTGTTTGGAAGTGCAGTGGAAAGTGGCACTTCCCCTAATACCCTACAACCCAGCATGCACAAGTCACCACAAATGGACATGGCAGAGCCTTTCAGGCATCCCTTCCAACTTGGCACTGACTTGGCCCTTGGAACAGAGAAATTCTGGCCCTTTCCAAAATGATCCGCCTGACACAAGGACCAAATACTTGGCTGAGCAGAGCTGGGATTCACCCTCATTCCCCTTCAGGCACCCTCTGTGGAACGTTAAATGGGTCCTGTCTTCTCTGTGCTTCAGTTCTCCACTGGGTACAATGGCCCTTTCTCACCTCAAAAGAGATCTGTGCCTAAACTTATTAACACTGAGAGGACACTCTGGTAGCATGCTGATGGCCTCATCCCACCCAGACACTTATTGCAAGGATTTCTCTCCTTTTGCATAGCAATTCCATCACAGATGCCTTGCAGATCTGCTGAGGCCTATAGGGCTCTGGAGTAAGCAGGAAGGCAGAAGCCAGGCCAGCATGCAAGGCCTCTGTGGTGCTTCTATACCTCCACTAGTCCTGGGAAGCGGGAGTCTCACTTCATCAAAGATACCCACAAAATGATGGTTCCTAGTCCAAATTGTATTTATTTTCAATGTGTGCAAAATGCATCTCAGCCTTATGTGTTGTCTTTCTCTCCCTGTGATAGAAACTCACCTGCTTCAGCTGGAGAACAACAAAGGAAACTACAGCGGCAGTGAACATTAAGAAAACCCTATCCTAAAGCCTCCATATACATGCTTTTTCACTATTGCCATCTGTTTTGCAAATGCAACAGCCTAAACTAAACAACCCCCTGGTAGCTAAATTCCTTGCATCTCAGAAAGTACATGCACCCCTGTGCCAAAGTAAACAATCTCATGGCTAGTTTACATCAAAAAAGTGCACTGATTTCATTGTAAACAAAGCAACAACAAATTGATCCGCAGCCTGCCACAGAACACTGTAGAAACATCCCCCTGTGAAAACAGGAGTAAACCATACTGGGACCCTCAATGAACACTCAGCCTGGCATCCTTACCTTCAGAACAGTTTAGGAAGTACAAACCTGTTCTTCCTACAGCTGTCATGTAGATTACATGCCAATGAGCTTCCCTGCTATTGCTACAGGTTTAATGGTGGTTCAGTGCAAAAGGTAGCAAGGATCATTCACTTAACAGAGGGAGAAGGAATTATATGGCCCTTTGGCTGTCTGCACAGAAGAGCTGGTTATGAGCTGGTTGGGAGCTGCATCAGGCAGGATGCCACTGCAACACAGTATCTCTACACCCATTCCCAGCAATATGATGATGCAGTGATGAAATAATAAAAGGGAAAGGACTGTGCTTTCTTGCCTTTTTCCTCGGGTTCATGTGCAAGCACTGAATTCTGGGATGTGAGCAAGTGTCCAACAACTCAATCCAAAACTGATCAACTGATCCTCAGCCAGTGCAGACCACCACCACCCAGATAGTAAAAAGGGCCAGGTGGAAAGATGAGTCTCCCGTTCTGACATAAGGCAGTGAGCTGGCCTGGTGTTGGCTCTGATGATTCCTGCACTGGGGAGCTATCTCCTTCAGGAACAGTCCTAGAGCCACAGCTCTAGGAGTCTCAGGTTTGGCTAGATGCAAGCTGAGGAAAACCCTTTTTAGATGGGGACAAGAGTCCCACCTGGAGCTTGGCTTCAAGGTCTCAGGATTTAAGGTCCACTCCTTCAGTACATCTGCTGAAATTCAAATCTTTATAAGGATACGCTTCAATGCATCCTAAGTGAAATCAGCTGAAAGCCCACCCTCACACTGAAGGAAGAATACTCAGATATTTTTCCACCAGTTGAGAAACAAACTCTAGTTAGACCTGTGCTATTTTCCTGAAGAGGCAGCAGTGTGCAGTTTGAACTCAGGAGCTCCTGCCAGAGCCCAAAGCTGGGGGATTTGTACAGGTCACTCATTAACTGCCTCTAGTGCCAACTTCTTTCAAGTTGTCTATGCTCATGGCACGTTTCAGTTACCAGAGCCCATTTTAAAAAGAGGCTTTTTGATCAGGACTATAAAGAGCAGCAACCTAACTTCATGTCTCAGAGCACGAGCTCATCCGTATCGCTGCCAGGAGGAGTGTAAGAGCTGCCTTCCATGGAGCGGAAGCAGGCTGCTCGATGGCACTCCCCCTATGGATCAGTATGGTGCTTTGCAAAAGCTAAAAAACATACCCCCCAGAGAAAAGAAAAAGAAAAACCCTCTCTATACTCACTTCAAAGTACATTGATTTGGTATCAAAATGCAGAGAACAGATTATTCTCACATGCCCCAGCTCCTGCAGAGACTCGTGTAAACCCATATGGCACCCCAGGGCTAGGTGCAGAGATTTGGGAGACAGTCTGAATCCCAGGGGCCTTGCTAAGTACCACAGACAATTCTCTCTGGTAACACTTACAAGCCAAGGAATCAGGGAAGATGACGTATTAAAAAAAGGCAAAAGAAAAAATATATTTTTTTTTCCTCTCATTACACACTCCTGGAGGTGGCATACTGTGGAGAGTAAATGAATTAAGCAAATCTAGTCCAGTGTTTTAGACACATTGATTATTTGATGGTCTCCCGTTAAATCAGTGGCTTAAAAACCCCTTATATGAAGGACGTAGCTGAAATAGATAGAGCTCATGTTTGGACATAGTCTGTGCTGGCATAAATCAAAACAAGTCCATGGGTAAGAACAGAATTAGAGTGGGTACAAAGAGTATGCAAAAAAATACTCAGAACAGCTTACAGATTTAATGCATTCTGCTGATAGTGGTGTGTTGGGAGGTTATTGATTTAATTTAGAGAGTGGGCATACAGAAAAACAGAAGTAGGTAAGGCTAAACTAGATCCCACTGCAATTTGAGGGGGTTTGCCTATCAATTTCTATAGCTTGGAGCATTTGCTTCTGAAAGCAAAGTTCAAATGAATACAGCCCAGGTGGCACTGTACAGCGCCTACTTTGCTAATCTTCATGCTGGAGCAGCCAACAAATTGGCAAAACTAGTTCAGAGGGCAGTCGGGAGGGATAGAAGCAGCACACAGTTGCCTTGGAGTTACCCAGAGTTATCTACACATCACGCTGTATGCTCCCTGCTTCTCATAATTAGAGTGTCTAGACAGGAGATGATGTTGGTGAAGCAGCAAGTAAAAAGGTTTTGCAGTTTTTCAGAGGAGCCCAGCTAAAGCAGTGATTACAACAGAGTGATAGACACAAGACTTGCAGAACCCAGCTGAGATTAGAGACAATTTTGACCTGTGTAAAGGTCCTTTCATAACCCTTTACATCCCCAAAAAGCTGCTGAATCAGAGTAGTGATGGCTCAAGCACTCAGGAGAGCTCAGAGCTTTTGAACCAGCCTCAAACTGGAGGTTTCTGCAAAAATAATTGCAGCTGTGTCTCAGCTTTATCCAGATGCAGGCATTTAGCAGCCTCAACTTGTGTAAACCGGCTTCACTCCACTGAAGTCAACAACAATTGACACCAGCTGAGAATCTGGCTCTTGGTGTGGTTTAAATATAGTTTGAAGAAAGAGAACTTACAGAAGGATTGCCCAATTCCTCATGTCCATTTCTCCCTTGGGGTAAGGCTGAATAAGATGATTTTTTTTTTCTTTTTAATTTAGCTTCAGTTATTTTTAACAACAGTATTATGAGTTCACATTTATTATAGCACCTTCCATCCCCCAGGAGCTAGGCTGCCTTTCAGGCTTCACCTGGAGTCATGGAGAGAGACGGACATGGCACCGGAATGGAGCCACCTCTGGATGCAACACAGGGGATGCTCAGCACACACAGAAGCCTGGCCACAAGCACAACAAATCATTGAGGGGACTAAACTAATTCAGCTTCACCATTGTAAGAGCAAGCCTCAGACATTTGCACAAGGAAGCAATCCAAGCAGCAGTTTCAAATCCTCCCTTGAGCTGGCCAGGAGATGGACATGATGTTTTTACAGCCATGCAGGGTGTCACGATCACACACTGTGGCCCTACATGCACAACACAAGGCCTGATTAACACACATACTGCTGGGAAAAGGCAAACATGAATGACCTTTGAGAAAGGAAGAGTAGCCAGATCACTCCTACTGTGACAAACCAGGGCTCTGTTGGCATTCCCCCATCTCTTTAGTTCAAACATGCCTGGAAAGCTAAGGAATATGGCTCTGAGGCCAGATATATAGCAATCTTCATGTGCAGCATTACAAGGCTGTGATTTTCCAAAACTTTAGCCACACTGCAGTGATACTTATACCAATATCTCACCAAGGCAGTGGGGTCATCGGTGCCAGTGGCAGCAGAGATTTACCTCAGAGGAGTTTCAGAAAGCTCAAAGGTCTGACATGTGTGCTTGGGAGCAGGTGGGATAGTTGCCAACTCTTTTTCAGTATGGGAGAGAAAGTGGGAAAGTATAACAGGAAAAATGGGTTGTCTCACGGGCTTACATCTGTGCAATTGTGCTAGAGGTAGAGTGACACCAACACCAAGGTTTTTAAGCACTGGTATTGTCCACTTTTTCTGGGCTCAGACTAGGAAACTAGAGCCCACTTAGATGCTACTATATGGAAACTGCTCAGAAACATCATCTTCCAGACAGTTCCCCTCAAGCCACCACAGAGCAATAGAAATCCAGCAAATAAAAGCTGTAGCCACCACCCAACTGCTCCATCAAAGACATGAACTCTGGCCTCTTAAAAAAAAAAAGGGGGGGGGGGGGGAGAGAGAAGAAAACCAATACAAACAAAAAAAACCCAGCTCCATTAATGAAAAATAAAGCACAAGGCAAGGGGTGATGAAAACAAATAAAACTAAGGCTGTAAAATGCCTGGTATGTAAGATGTGTTGAAACTTGCTGCTGACAGCAGCTTGAGCAGACATTCACATGCAGCCATTCATAAGATGCACAGTAATTACCTTCTCTGGGAGGCTGTATTATGATGATTTCTTTAAGCAGAGCACAATATCTCTAGCAACAGGATATAATTACAGCAAAGGATATGCTTCTTAACCTCCTTCCACACACACCCCCCCCCAGCCAGCTCAGGGAGAGAGCTGGGAGCCAGGGGCTCTGTGGGGAGGGTGAAAGTAGTTTACCCTACGTTACTGCACTCATTACCTACAGCCAAGCACGCTTTTGATGAGATATTGCGGTGGCATTGCTCTCAAAGGAACCCAACCTCTCTCCCGCTCAGTTTAGGATGGAAACACGCCCAATGCTGCAGGACTTTGACAGAGCTGGCAACAGCCACCAAGCCACCGGAGGAGTCCGGCACAGCCAGCCTGCTCTGGGCCGACACCTCAGTGGTAAATAAATAAATACCAAAAATAAACAGGCAAGGGAATGACTCAGAACTGGAACGTGCTGGTAGTGCTGTGGGGCAGCAGGACTTCCCACCTCCAGAGTGGGACCTTGCTGGCCCCAAATACTCCACTGCAGAGCCCCTTTGGAGAGCCAGCACGCTCTAGAGAAAGAAACAAAGCTCCCAGATAAGGACTGGCACCATGCCCAGCATGGGCCGTGGTGTCTCCAAGGGATTGATGCCACCTCCTGGTGATTACCTGGCCCACCTGCAGCAGCCACAATGCCACAGCTGGTCCTCCCAGCTCAGCTCCCTGGGGCTGGCTGTTCTGTTCTGCTTCCACAGCTAGGAAATCCTATTGCTGCAGCTGCTGGATTAATTTACATAGGGTCCAGAAGTAGAGAAAGATGCAGACAATGACAAAACCCTAGGAGCTGTGCACTCAAGCCAAGGGCCTCTGTCTCTCGCACTGCTTCTATCCATGCCTGGTACTCACTTTTCCAGATTTCTCTGGGATGGTGAAGTGGCCAACACAGTCAATAGTTGCCAGTGAGGTTTGTTGTACTGGGAAGTGGCTCAGTGAGGTGAAGTTCCATTTGCAGACCGGCAGATAGGGAGGCTGTGAGCATCATGACTTGCTCCTTCTAATTATTTCAATCATCAGTCCTGGGGGAAACAAAAAGGGTTAATCCCTGGCCCCATGTCTCTCCACCGCAAACCAAAAATGCAGTGCTACATCTGACCCTAGGCTCTGTTGTTTCTAGCCCACACACTGATTATCTGAAAGTCAAAATGAGAGCTCAGCCTTCATTTTCCAAAATCCTCTGGAGTAGCAGTGCTCGGTGACTCAGGCTGTCCATGCCAGGCACTAAAAGCAGAGAGCCTGGGATATTTTCAGAACCAATTTTCAAGATTTCAGACAGGTTTACTTGCCATTCCAGGATAGACGATGTTTTTTTTTTTTTTGCAGATGAGAGACTGGAAAGCTTGTCTAATACGAAATAAATAAAATTAAAGAATAACCAACATTTTCCTCTCTAGTCTGGAAATTGCATTACAAGTGGGAGTCAGCTTGGTGCAAGTTTGCAAGCTGTGATATCAGTAGGAGAATTTCCCTTCCTATTTACAAAAGGAAATGAATTTTGCATCCACCGGATGGCAGTGTAGGGAGAGTATTAGTCGTAGTATTATTATTTTCTTTTTAAGACTCTCAAAACTGATTGCAGACGCAGCAATTCATTGCTTATTAAGATCTCCCTGCATTACAACCAGGCAAAAAAAATCTAGGTCTCATTAATAAACCATCTTCTAGGATCTCCATAAGAAGACAAATTGTGATTAGCCAGGATTGTTCAATGAATGATTTGTCTTGTCTGACAAAAAGAAATGATTGTTTGGAAGGAAGTGTGCTTTAAATAGCTCACTCTTTATAATAAAACCAAAGACTTCAGATAGAAATACATATAGTAAGAAGGCAGTATTTCTACTTCAGGAGGAGGTAACTTCATGCATCAGGCTAGCAGGTGCTAACTTTTACCTTAGAGTTCAGACACTGCGGGACCGAATAATTTTGAGCCCGAAATGGCAACATTTTCTGCAGTTTCTGTTGTCAAAACATCTCGATGAGCAGAAAGTCTATTCGACTGCCAGACATGGCAGGAGATTAGTTATCAACGGCAGGGAACAAATTTTGTTTCCTGCACAGCATAAAGTTCTAAATAATAAGGCTGAATGTTAAAATCCAGGTAAATAATACTAGTGAGATCCATCGTATCAACAAGACGATTGGCCCAGAGTAATGAGCGCTGGAAAATAAGCAGAAAAAAAAACCTGGGGTGCCAAGCCACAGGCTGCCCTGTTGCCACTAGAGGGCAATAGCAATCAAGCGACAAAAGCCTCTCGAGGTGAGGAGCTGCTGGCGAAGGGCTGGTCGAACACGGCCAAGCCGCGTTTCCCGAGGAGGCAGCCGCGGCTCCCCGCCGAGCTCTGGTCGCGGTCTGCGGAGCGGCTCTCCTCCGGCAGCCCCCTGGCCCTGCCGTCGGCGCGCTCGACCCCGTGCGGCAGGCAGGTAGCGCCTGCTGTCAGCCCCGGGGTTTGGTTCGCCTGGGTTAGCGAGTGGAAAATATTCACAGATGGTTTTGGTCTAGAAAAACAGCCACAAGTAAAAGAAGTACTTTTAACGGCATGCGTTTCAGCATCATCAAATAGGTGGTCAGATGCCGCTCTGAACAGATGATTGATCCAACATAACACATCATTCAATTCCAGATGTTGCAAAGAGTGAGAAAGGGAGATGGAAAGACTTTAGCAGCCTCATGTATTTGGCTTACTGCAGGGAAGGTTTGGAGGTGATTTGATCTAAATTAACGTTTCTCAGTGGGGGACTGTGGGAGATGCTAAAGGACTCCAAGAATCTAACAAAACTATAACTAGATCCAGAAGCTCAAAGTAAAAGCTGGATAAAATCAAACTGGAAATAATATGAGCACTTAAAAATTAAAACTTGCAATAATGTCAGTAGTTAATCACTTGAACAAATCATGTAGGGGAGAGTTTTATTCTCCACCCTTTGAGCTCTTAAAACAAGATTTGCTGTCTTCCTAAAATATGTGCTGTAGCTTAACAGTGAATTATTAGCCTTGATGCAGACATTACGGGTATAGGTCTCGTCTGAATGAGGCAGAAGGTGAGACTAGATTAGCAGAATGGTCTCTTCTTGTAATTACAGTCCACAAATACCAAGGTTCTTGTCATAGAGAATTGTCTTTCAGCTGTAGGGGATGACTCCCACCTTTGCAAACTCCACAGGCTGTGTCAAAGCAGCAGTAACAGCAGCCCCAAGGACTCTGTCACACAGAGAGCAGAGGTGGCCTTCAGCTAATGGGGTGCCTTCTATTGTCCAGTCATTAGCTGTCTCTTCAAACAAAAAGACCATGAGCATGAAGAAACTATTGTCTACACCAGACTGCCCAGGGCCAACAGTTGGGCCATTCTGTACCTCTGGTAGGGTACTGGTTCCTGGGCTGTGGCACCAGCTAAGAAGACACTCAGGGCAGGAACTGATATGCGAGATCCATGAAGATGTGGGACACTTTCAATGTTTTGAGACTCCAGAGTTGTTAGTAATGCAGAGGTCACGTAGCCCAGAAAGTAATGTCTGCAGTGCCTGCCCTTTTCCTCCCCAGTCATGGGCCACAGGGAGATCTTTAATGAAGGAGAAGGAGTGGATACAGCTCCTTGGGAGTTGCATGTTGCACAGACAACACAGACTTGTGACTCAAGCATCCAAAAGCATCATACCACTGAAACACCCCCAGCCTCAGCCCAGCCCTTGTGCCCTGCAGAGCAGACAACACCAACATAAACAAAAGCTCAGTCTTTCCCACCAGAGACACAGATTACTGCTATAGCAGCTGTAAACTGTTTCCAACCTAACCAAATGTCAGTGCTTAACAAGGCTGGACAGTTATAAAACAGACAGAATGTGATGACAGCACACTGGCCCTTGCAATAACTTAGGGGTATTTCTCTGCAGAAGCAGCATGAGGTGGTACAGGAACAAAGCAGGTAGAGAGTAGAAGCACACAGCACTTGGTTCTCATGCTCCTCTTCAGAAGAAGGGCTTGCAGAGATTTTTGAGTGTTTTGTCAAGGCTGAAAAGTTCTGTCAGCAAGCAAGGAAGCTTACTGGGAAACAGCACAGACACAAAGGACGAGGCACACTGCACCAGGCTGGGGATGATGGGCCTGTGTTGAAATGGGAGTGCTGGCCCAGGTGACTACACCTGCCACAGGGAGGGGGAGCTCAGCATGCTGGGCTATTTGCTCTGTTTTCTGAATTGGAAAAAGTTAAACATCCCACCAAATTAAGGCAAGAGGATTTAATGTGAAGAAGAAGGTGGCAAGAACATGTTTGAGCATTGTACTGTTTTGTAGGACCAGGATATGACCTGGTCCAACCTCCTCCAAACATCTGCAACAACTCTCAGTCTCCTTCCTCACACTAACCCCAGTCTCATGTAAGAACCCCAAGATGTCACTCCTGCTTTCTTCAGGCTTGAACTCTCACTTGTGTGCTCACGTGATCTCTAATGTCTGCAGCCTGCTCCTGATAAAGAAACCACATCTGAGGGGGATTCCTCTTTAGCCCAAGTGGTAAGCGGTCAAAACCCATCTCAGGATCAGCCTGCAACGCTTTTCTTGTGACGTGTAACTAGAGTGGTTCTACAAATCAACAAGTTACACTACTTTTCTGGGCAGGTCAACTCCAAAGCAGAAAGCCTGGAGTAACTGTGGTTCTCCCCATTTCCAGGGCCAACAGCATATGGGGTACACCTTTATGCATACTCACATATATACAAGCAAAGCAAGCACCATGACCTTAAACGTAAATGCTGGAGCCAAAACCATGCTCCTACATGTTCCTGCTCAATTTGCAGAACAGGAGAGAGGAGGTTATGGGGCAGCAAGTCTGATACAGACAGCAGTCAGATTGACACAGTGCTGGTGGATGTAGGAAAGTGAAAGAATCTAGGTGGGAGTGCACAGCCAAATTAGGGGTCGAAGGGTTAAGAGAAGAGAGCCCATTATTCCCCACTACCACTGTGTTCCAGGCATAAGAAACATTTGGAGCTAATTAGAGGCAGAGCAGAACAATGCACTAGAGAAAGCAACAATGCCCTGGTTCAACCCAGCAGATGAGCTTCGTGCTCAGAGCAAATTGGTCTAAAATGAGTATTGCTCTATCTCAAAACCAAAAAGGTGTGACCTACTCTCTGACCCTGGCATCAGCTGGCAGGAACAGAATTGACAGAATGGTTCTTCATCCCCATCATGTAGAGATTGAGCATATTCAATTCCATCTCAGAAATAAAAGCCATCAGCTCTTCCAGCTGATTTGAGGTAACCGATAATACAGAACTGCACTTATTAACTAAACTAGACTGTATTGTGAAGAGCTCCAAGGCAACAACTAAATGGACAGCCATGACAGGGTCTTTGTGACTTCGAAGCCTTAAGTAATAGCTTTAACATTTGCAAAAGTAAAGTATTTTAATTTTTTAAATTATCTTAATGGACTTTTGTGAAAATTTTGCTCCTGAATAGTAAAAATGTCCAAATCTGAGGCTACAGCACCTAAATGCTAGGCTCTACACAAGATCTGGGAAACTTCTGGAAGTTATTCTGGAGTAACTTCTGGAAGTTATTTCCCAAAGCAATTTAGAAGTTGCAGTGTCAAGCTAGCTTGATTTTATTGTGAGTTGATTATTTGGGTGTTGTCTTCTAGTGAAGTCACTCTCAGACACTCCGCTTGATGACAACAGGGCTCATGTTCTGAAGAAGAAATTAATACTTTAAGTTTTAATGTCTGGGGAAAGAGGCAAAATGTTGAAGGCTCAAAGGAACTTAATTATCATTGGACTAGTGGGCTACAAGCAGGTATTTTTAGGTAGCCCAATTCCCAGTATTTGTTATCGGAGAAATCTTTAAAGCTCCTAGGCCCCAGAGCACCTCACTGAAAGCTGCATGGGCACTACCTGTATTTGGTAGCCACTAAACAGGCATCTTTAAAAACTTCTGTCTGCAGGCAGAAATTAAGACAACAACATTTAACAAATGACAACTGCTCTTCGTAAGGGATGCCCAGCAAACATTTTCAAACCTTAC